CTATACATTATTGGACATTATTGCAGACTGTGTGACTTGGCATCCCCACTAGGACTTGAGGAACAAAAAAAAAAAAAAAACAGTTCAAACTTCAAACTTCAAAGAGACCAGTTAGTGTGAAAAGTGCTTTTTTGGGTAGCTGAGCAATTGGCGCAATTGCATTTTTGCATACACAAATTTTGCTTTAACTCAGACTTTACCTAACAAGAATGAAATAAAATGAAGAACAAAACCCATATCGCATTTCTTGAATTGGCTTTTGCTTCCCCGGTCAAAAGCTCATGCTTTTCAAGTTGACTTGCCATTGGCCCATCCTCATTAGTAGAAATATGGGTAGGAAGAAATTGGTCACTTTAGGGCTGGGAAGAAATTTGGGTAGGTGAAGAAATTGGTGGGGGTAGAAGAAATATGGGTGAGAAATCGCCCGGGGGGTGGGAGGGGGAAGAAATTGGGGTTGGAGAGAGAGAGAGAGAGAGAGAGAGAGAGAGAGAGATTTGATTTGTCTTTTAAATTTATTGTGTGAAAATATATTTTTGCCCATGCCAAGTAGGACTTGTCATTGCCATGTCATCATTTTTAACGAAAAAGTTGACTAAGATGACAAAAATGACGATTTCTGAAAGTGAAGGCATAATTAAAGGACCATTGTAACAATTTAACAATATAAAGGACGAAAAATAAAGTTTGGTCTTAATCTAGGGGATCATTGCTACAATTTTGCCTAAGTTTTATATGAATAATTGTATAATATATCGTGCTGAAATGGACTTATTGCTAAAAATTTGGAGGGACCTCATATTTCTGTAAATCAAATAGATAACAATTCTTGCATCAACTTACTTTGATTAGGATTTGGTTTGTCCAAGTTGACTCTACAATCAACATCCCTCCCATGTAAATTATTTTCTTTCAGATACCAATTTTTTTATAAATCACAAAAGACATAGTTCAAAACAAATTGAAAAGTTTGAAAGTAATTACAAAGTTTATTTTAAGATAACGCCAAAAGAAAGAAAAAATAAAAAAATAAAAAAACCAAAAGAAGAACAAGGGGAGCATGTGAGACTGGGATAGGAGGTTTGGCCTTATTCGGTTGCTAATAAAGTAAAACGCGGAGGATGACATATAATACGACATGCATTACAAAATCAAAATAAGTAAAAAGATAATTATCTTATTTTTATTTTTCCCAATATTCATATTGTTTTTTTTCCGAAGAATTTAGTTGGTTTAGAAACTAGCGAATTTGCTTTGTTCTGTCTCTCTCTTCCTCTTTCTGCTAAGAAAAGAAACCAAAAAATAGAGGAGAGAGAAGTTAGATTGTGAAACATAAGGAGAGAAGAAGAGAAAAGGGGTCCTTTGGTTTTCCATCTCTTTCTGTTTCTCTCTAACTTTTCCCTAGAAAATTGCAGAAAGAAATAAAATTTTAAGAAAAAGAAGGAAAATTTAGAGAGAGATGGAGAAGAGAGAAGACAATGGAGATGTGAAGGTTGTTGGGGGAGTGGGATCTAACAGTAAGTTCCCATTGAGCTTCTGGGAGGTGGCTGTGGCTTCCACGGTCCTATTGGGCTTCGTGGTTGGCCTTCTGGTCGTTTACCTAACCATGCCCGCATCGGATTATAGCTTTCTCAAGCTCCCTCGTAGCCTCCAAGAGCTTCAAATCCTCAGGTACTTTTCCCAATTTCCTGTATTTTGTTTTAGGTATATCGTAAATTGCCCATGAAAGATTCAATTTCCAATGTTCTGGAGCTTAGGAACAAAATTGATGGGAAATTTGTGGTTTTCTCACGCAATTCCAATCTAGGCTTTTTTTTTTCCTTCTGTTTTATTGGTATAAGCAGTTTTCTGCATCAGAGCCCTGTTAGTTGTATAGTAAATTATGGATTTTTACCTTTGAGAGCTATTTTTCTCTTTCCAAAGCTAAACCAATAAGCGTGATCTTTTTGTGAGGATCAATCTTATAGCTAAATAATTGAAGCATTCTATTTTGACAAATCACTTTTCAAGAGTTGAAAATAATACATAGATTGTTGTTTCCTAATAAGATAATAGGTCTTTATTTTAGTACAACTGGTATTGGTCTAAGCAAGTTTAGATTCGGACCTTTGATTCTTCTTCTGTGAAACTTTATGTAACATCATGTAGCTGTAATATTAGTTATGAGTTATGGCACAAATGCCTAACATGAATTAGTGCACTAGTGTGATCTAAAGATGCTGTCGTAGGAGGGTTGGGAGTGATTTGTGTAGACTTAATAAGGGAAAATAATGCTAATGTCCTTTATTTATTGTTATAACCATTTAAAGCAATTTCACTTGGTAGAGAGGTGGAACGAGATTCTTGTGGTATAATTTTAATTTAGGTTTGATAATTTTATTGCTTGAGTATTTTGAAAGACATAGCTGTAACATCATTAGCACTATGAACTTGGTTTGTTATAGCTAATCTACTCCCCTAGTTTGACGAATGATGTATTGTGTTTTGTCTCTGCTGTATGTTCTTCATTTACAGAGAGATTGTAGAATATTGGTTTCATAGTATTTGTCAGTTTTATTTATTTATTGTTTCATTGTCTTCTTTTCATTGTCTTCTTCTGGGTAGAGTTCACCTTGAGGACTACACAAGTGACTACACTGCTCAGGTTTTGTTGGGGTACTGCATGGTTTATATATTTATGCAGACTTTCATGATCCCTGGTACTGTATTCATGTCCTTGCTTGCTGGTTCCCTTTTTGGGGTTTTCAAAGGCGTAGCTTTGGTGGTGTTCAATGCCACTGCTGGTGCATCTTCTTGTTATTTTTTGTCGAAGTTGATAGGGAGGCCCATTGTCTTCTCTCTTTGGCCTGACAAGCTGCAGTTTTTCCAAAACCAGGTAAATTTAAATGTCTCCATATCTTTCATTGATACTTAACATAAAAAATAGGAATCAGTCATTAATTTTTTCTTCCAGGTGGCTAAAAGAAGAGATGGACTTTTAAACTACATGTTGTTTCTACGATTGACTCCGACTTTGCCAAACACGTTTATTAATCTTGCTTCACCAATAGTGGATGTACCTTATCATATTTTCTTCCTGGCAACCATAGTTGGCCTGATACCAGCTGCTTATGTCACTGTCAGGGTATGTATCTTTCCCTTCTATAAACATTTTTGGGTTAAATTTTGAAGTTCAATTGTGGTCTCTGAACATCAGAAGGCATTATCACAACTCCACTCAAATCCTGAAGGGTTCTATGCTCAAATGACCCAAAATAAAAATCACTATGCAAAAACAGATATGAATCATGATTATTATTTTTTGCATAGAGAAAGATCATTATACCTTCATCTCGGTCATCTCAATCTGCATTGTTTACTCATGCATAAAAAGATAAAATCGTCTTTAGGAAAGTTAGTTTTCTAATTTTGGAAGAGAAAGTATCAATTTTGGAGAATGATTTTTTATTTTGGTTCATTTCACGAAGTGGTTGGAGCTCAAACCACCTGCCACCAGCATGTTAAGGTGGTGATAGCTCGGCCTAATCTGTAAAAGGAAAATTATATTGGTGATTTATCTGAGTTCTCTGGCGTTCATAATGTACTCAAGTGTTACTGGTTATGCCTATGTATCTCTTACTCTGTTTTTGCCCTCAGGCTGGATTAGCTCTTGGAGAGTTGCGATCCCTTGGGGATCTCTATGATTTCAACTCAATAGCCACCTTGTTCTTCATTGGAGTTGTCTCAGTTACTCCCACGTTAGTGAGTAAGAGCAAATCATAGCGTCTCACTTGCTGAACTTTGCTTGGTGTACATGAGGCCCTTGTTCTGCTTGCAGTCATTTGGGTATCACCTCGGTACAGTTAGCATCTGTCCGCATTTAAAGATAACTGCCTTTGTCGGATCTCCATTGGATAAGATTATATGTTGAAGGCGTGGGCTTGGATAAAATTTCTTGACTCTCATGGTTTACTGCATTGGTCGGTGGGGTTGGGTGTAAATGTGTAATGTAACTTCATTTTCAGTGTCAAGGTGGTCTCCAATTTCATAGGGTATGTATATCATTGGCAGGAAAAATGTAAAGGCAGTCTAGTCAAGTTCTGAGCTTATCTCAGTTCTAGTGTTGAATTGGAAGTCCCAACTTAAAAGTAGTATTGTGTTTCATCAAATTGACCACTAAAACGTCAGTATGAAATTTCTTTAAGACAATCAATCCACAAGGTTTGCAATTTCTCAATTTCGCCTTAGATGCTTGGCTAATACGCAAGGTAATTGTTCTTAATAATTCCTTGTTGCTTAATTTGCCTCAACCTTTTAGTTCAAGTTTGAAGTTGGCAAGTAACTATGGCATCTGGAATTGCTTGGCATGGAAGCTAAGAATTGCAGAACCAAAAAACGTTGTTTCTCTACAATTCAAGAATCACAATTTTGCAAAGCAAGTTTATTATGGACCAAAATATTTACACCGAGACATCTGTGGGTTAGGTCAATTAGCCAAAGCAATGTGCTTGTCCTTTTGCACTCAACTCAAGTTCGATCATCTTCATACATTAGAGTAGTTTAGAATATCATTTGTAATTAAAAAACTAAACAAAAATGTTTATGTAGGTGGGTGCTCAAAACAAGCAATTGCGAGTGAAAGAGGCAGAGAGTTGAGAGCTAGTCTGATCCTATAATCTCATTATTGTTATTTTTGCACCTTTCTCATCTTCATACAGAAAGCAAAGTCAAGATCCAAGGACGTGTAACGTATTAGTGCACCAAAGATTGGTGATACAAGAACAAAACGTATAAGTTTGGCTCATGTTAGTTTCCATTTTGATAATTTGATCTTATACGTTTGGTTAGTTAGCAATCAAGTCTTTAAATTGTCAAGGAAAATAGGCGGATTGATTACATCAATTTGAACTCACTACCTACCACAATTGAAATTATGAACCAAACGAGGACCCAAAACCGCATTTTTGGAATCCAAACAGAAAATAGATCTGTAAATCTTTATAATCGAGATATTAGGAACCATCTGTAGGAAATTAACTTATAAAAATTATTTGATGAAATGAAACGATATAATGACTGGTACATGAAATTGGACAGGGTACACATTTCATAATTCTCTTAACACAGAACCGGAGGTGCCTTTATCAGGTCAATTGCCAATGGACATTATTGTGTCCTCCTACCTATATTTCTTGAATTTCTTCTTCTGCTGGGAGCTCTCAGGAGTTCGGCTATCCATCTTACGCTTTATACCTGTTTGTTTTGCAGCAGGGCCACCTTTGAATGATGCTTTAGCTTTTCTGGCAGCAACAGATGGTCGTTTGTCTTTACGTTCTTTCGGCTTCACTCCACTCTGAGATCTTGATTCGAACGTATCTTGCCTACTGCTTTTTGAATGAAATTTCTTTTGGACACCGGGCTTACCTGCACGCAGGCCCTGGTAGGACTTAGTATCCTTTGAACCCACCTTGTTAAAATCCGGAGTCCTTGAACCCACTGCTAGCTTTTTGGCTGGGGAATTAGCTTTCAAGCCAGATGAGGGATTCTTTCTTTTGGACGGGGTAGAATCTGGTTTTGCATGAGAGAGCCTGAGCTCCCGATCCCCAAGCTTCAAGTTTCGCTTCTTAACAACCAAATTTGCAGCTTCCTGGGTGCCCAAACAGACAGCTCATAAGATATTCTGTATTCGATAATACAAATTGACAAATAGGTGGGCTCTCAAGAAAGTAGAACATATAAAAATTTAGCTACAGAGTTTACATGCTGATGGCACTCTATCTCAAACAATAATTTATTTAGTCTAGTCAACTATGCATGCATGTAAAACTAATTTGATACCGAAGAAGAGTTCTAAAAAGAAACATCCATGATACAAGAATCTTCAGAAAAAAATATAAATCATACAGTTCCAGAAATTACCCGGTAACAAGTTCATATTTCTGTCCTCAGTCCAACTTTAACATAAAGAGAAAGCAAAATACAGATTGAGGCAGCAGACACTTAGGGGCCAATATGCCAAAACCATAACTAAAGAAGGGTGGTGATTTTGGCACTCAAACGTCACCCTTAAATTATCTCATGCACTCCTCATGTGTGAGTGATAGAGGAGAGTAGGAGGTGAGATTTGGAGTGCCAAATCATTCCCCTTACAAAATTGATAATGATGACTATTTTGTTTTGTTAACCACACTATATACTCAGTGGCCCAAATGCATAATTTTAGGGTTGAAAGACTTCCTAAAAAAAACAAGGGTTGAAAGACAACGAATTCACATATGTTCCACGAGACAATCTGGGATCCTATCAACATCCCCATAAGGACTGTCACTAGAAAGGTACAGAACCATCCGAAGAAGGAAACAAACAGAAGTAATTAAACAATCACATATCTGAATTCGAATCGCATAACATGGTTATGAATAAATAATTGAGCATAATTGATAAATGTTGGTGAAAATTACACACCCTTGTTCTGAACAAAACATAAGCAATGCCCTTTCCGATACCATAGTTAGGATCCCTGATTATGCGAATAGCTTCAACGTTGGATTCCATATTGTTAATACCACAAAACAACTGATAAACTTCTTCATCCTGAAAAAGAAAAGAAAATGATATGCACATATTACAACTAAGGTAGGCAACAATAATTGAAAATTTGGAAACATTCCAAATAATAATAAATAATGGAAGAGATAATCACCTTCACATCAAATGGAAGGTTACCCACAAAAACAGTTCTTGTGTGATCATATACAGCAGCACTCTCCCCCTTCAGCTTCTTACGAGGTGGGCATGCCCTGTCAACACGGATATGATGTCCTTCAACCTACATCAACATGCATAACAAGTCAAGGCACAAAACAAACAACTTCATCTTGATTGTAAGTGACATCTTATGAAGAATGAAAATAATCACCGAACTTTATTAGAATATCATACCACAGCCATGTTATGGGACAAAGAAGCCTGTGCAGATTCCTCTGTTCTGAAAACAATGTAGCCATTAACACTGCAACACAAAATGTGTTAGTTCAAAGTCACTTGTAAATAACTTAAATATGAAACTTTCCTCTCAATCCTAACATGTATCAAAACTCTATATCCTTATACATATTTTGAAAATTTGATGCAAACAACTTAAAGTACACTAAATATACATCCCTAACAACCTAAACATATTCGTTATTGAGGACGCCAATTTTTCAGTGTAACTTGATGTTTGAGCCATATGAGAGATTATAATAGAAACCTAAAACCGGTACATCCCACCCAAAATCAGACGGTAACTGAAAAGAGAATCTATGTGCTCTAAAAACGTTTTTATATATGTATATACCCAACAATTATTTCCTAAAACAGTAAGACAATCAAGTGATCTGAAATCATTACCTGTCAGCTTTATCATGGATTTGATTCGTAAGTATTGCTCCCTTTCTAGGTTTTTTGGTCTGAACGAAAGCCATCAAATGTAGAAATCAAAAATCATAACAGTAAAAATTTATATTGTGACTCTGCCAAAAACAAGTCTTAGAACTCAAAACATTTGAAGCTAAAACACTCACATCCAAGATTGGCACAGAACGAATCCTTACGGACTCCACCTCTCCAAATTTACTGAACTCCTTGATCAAAACCTTCTTCTTGACTTTCAAGGGCAAATTCCCAACAAAAACAGTCCTCAAAAGCTTACTCTCATCGTCGAAACCTTCATTCGAAACCAGCATATCAGCTGGATTATCCACCATCTTCCTCTTCTCCCCAACAACTTTTGCACCCACATCCTTGTCTCCAACTTCCTCGCTTTCCTTCACACCATACTTCTTTGCCTCGTATTCCCTCTCAAGCTCATCTCTTTTCCTCTTCTTCCCATCCATCTTCTTCACCACACTCATTCCATCACCGCCTTTTGTTTCAACACCCATATTTGGGCGTTCCCCCAAGTTGGAGGCTTCACCGTTGCCCTTCTTTGATACCCCATTTAACTCATAACCCAAATTAGGATTTTCCAAATTAGGTGTTTCTTGCAGTTTCTTTTTCTTGACTTTCTTGCCCTCCAAAGGAGTCTCTGAAGCTTCTTCATTAACCAAACCAGAAGCTTTCTTCTCTTTACTTCTCTTCCTCTTTTTCACCTCACCGTCATCACCACTGTTCTCAGAATCACCATGGTTAACGTTTTCCGCAGCTTCAACTGAAGGAGCAACAAACCCTAACCCGGGTTCCTGGTTCGTCCTCCTGAACGGGTTGCTTTCAGAGAATATGGAAGGGACGGCGTCGTCGCTGGTGGCGTCGCCGAATAGGGTCTTGAAAATGTCTGGCTGAGCTGAAACGGCGTCCCTTTCTGGCTCCTTGGGTTTCTTCCTACCCATTATTTGGTCTGAATGAATTTGGGAAATCAAAGACAGCAAGGTTTTTAAGCGTTGAGAGAGAGAGAAAGGGATTTGAAACCCTAGCTCTACATTTTCCAGGAATCCGGAGGGGACTAGGAAGTTTGAAAGTGGTTGCAAAAGAGTGGGCCGGGTCGAGTTAGTTGGCCCAAGGCCTGAAAATAACAACAGCAGTTGATGACTTGGTGCCCGTTTGGCATTATTTATTTGGGGTTATAAGTGATTTTTTTTAAAAAATTTTGAAAACCCATCATGTTTGGTAAGAAAAAAAAAAGGAAGGTTTAGTTTTAAAACACAATATAATTTTACTAATTTGGAATATAAAAATACAATTTTATCTAATTAGCACTAGCCTCCCTGCACGTGCGAGAGGCTTTTTTTAATCACACCCGCTACGCGCGACTTACAAAGTTTCATAAATATTTTTTTGCAATTGTATTTATATAGATGTCCGTTTCAACAGTTGCATATTTTAATCGCGCGCGTGTGATATATCGTTGTCTTAAAAGTTTTCCTTTTATTGCTCATATCTTTCTAGACGTCAATCTTAACAGTTCACACACTATAAAAACAAAAACAAAACAAAACCAACACTAGCCACGTAGAACACTGCAAAAACAACCAAACCAAACACACAAACAAACCTGTATCCAAAAAGATCTAGGCTAAAAACCCAAGATCCAAGTAGATCTGGGGAAGGAAATAATAGGAGAAGATGAAGGGGAGATAGGGGCTAGCAAAAGCCCCCAGGAAAGTGGAAAGAGAAGGGCGAGAGGATGAGAGGGAGGGAAATGATGGGAGAAGAAGAGGGGGAGAGGAGGAAAGGAAGGGAGAAGATGGGCAGAGGGGAGGAGGGGCAGTGGCCACCTCCCCTAGCTTAGGAAGAGTTGGTTGTCGGCAAGGAGAAAAAGTTCTTCCTTCCACCCTAAACGTGGTGTATACTTTTTGCGTTTCATGTAAAAGTGAAAGTGAAAATGCTTTTCATTTTACCAAACACTTGAACAGAAAAACCATTTCAACATAATACCATTTTTAATCATTATACACAACTCACAGTACTTTCACAAAAAAATTTACCAAGCAATCTGAAACTAAATATTGTACAAACAGCACATATAACAAAAAGTTTATCAAACGTCAAACTATTTTATCTCACAATTAATTTATCTCACAGTAAATCTGACAGCATTTATTTTCACAACACAATAATATTGAGCCTTATTAATGGACCGAAAGTCCTTCATAAGAATTTTATATTAAAAATTAGTTAATAATTATTAATCTCAGTCTATGTATGATACATTTAAAAAAATATTTTACCGACTAACATATCCAACCGTGAAAGGAGGTATTGGTGTTTCTGACAATACCATGACCGTGCTTTCTAATGAATCTTCTCATTCTATCAGTGATTCTTGTTTGCACTGTTGGAAAAACATTCTATTAGTCATAAAGGGCAAAAATAAGTTTTCTGATGATTCAACTCATTCCATCAGTGATTCTTGTCTGCACTGTTGGAAAAACATTCTATCAGTGACTAATTAAATAATATATATTTAACAAAAATTTAAATATACCCAACGAATTTAATATAGCAACAATAGTATTATATTAACAGATAAATATGAAGTACATAAAGAAAAAAAATGTAATCAAATTCACTTACTTGTATATGAGATAGAGGCTTGCAAATTCATGCAATGTCCTGAAGATTGCCTCTCAATATTCAACAATTTGTATTCTAAGTTCTAGCCCTAGGACTTAGAATTTAGCGAACTTGTATATTTCTATTTCTTCAAGAATATGAATGTATGTGCATCTAAGGGCTAGGACTTAGAATTTAGCAAACTTGTATATTTCCCTCTCTTCAAGAATATGAATGTATGTGCATCTTAATGCTTATGTGCAAAACTTTGGGGCTATTCTAATTTAAATAGGCCTTTGAAACCTTTTCAAAAAAGGCTACAACTTAAAACTATTAAAAAGAGTATTTTAAAATAAAACGGATTTAATTAATTATTTAATTCGAATGTGAGACTCAAATTTCATTCAAACTCCAACATGCATCAATTAACAATACAAATTTTGGCCAATATACTTGGAATGTAATGCTCTTTAATCAATTAAACTGCTGTGTCTTGCTTAATTGATACAAGAACTCAAGAAACCTGAGTTTTATACATACAAGCATGTAAAAGAAAGAAAATACTTGATCATGGCATGCTTGTTATAATACACATTAAAGATGCAAATAAGATAAGAAGACAGTAAGAGTGATTTATAGATTTTGGTTTCGAGGTTTTTGCCTTCCTGGTTGATGTATTATTTAGCTTTAGAACCTTTGGTTTGGTACATATGCATGCTATTATGTTTAATGCAATCTAGGTATACTGCATAGTGTTTTATTTGTCATTCATGTTTGTTTTTCTCATTTGATAGGTAACCCTTGAGGCCCTTTTTTTTATTTTTATTATTATTATTATTATTTTTTAATACTAGCGATATTAAGAGGGGGGAATCGAATTTAAGACATGGGGTGCAAGAGTAAATGTCTTTAGCTACAAACCTCTTACTCTCTGTAGGGGCTTTTTCGTTCTGACAATTACGGATGGGCCTGCACTGCTTTAAAGAGCCAAATGTATGAAATTGCCCCTTGAGTCTGAGTTCAAGGATCAGACATCAAGAATGTTTCAAAAAAGAAGCTGAGCCTTAAGAAACACCTTGGTCTTCTTCACCAATGAAACCAACAGTCGCTTAAAGATAAATTTTTGGCTTAGCATGAGAAGCTTGTGGCATGGGAGTTGAGCATTCATGAGTTTAGCATGACAGAGAGAGAGAGAGAGAGAGAGAGAGAGAGAGAGAGAGAGAGAGAGAGAGAGAGAGAGAGAGCTGCGATTTCCTATGAGAAACATAGTTTTTAAGGCAATGGGGAAGGGATTCTAAAGGGGTTCGTTGAAGAGAGAGAGAGAGAGAGATGGGGGAATAACAACGGGTGTGTTGAGTAGTTTCCGGCAGCTTGACGAAAGCTCTGTCAAGCTCTGGAACGATTTACCAGAGAATAAAATGGGAGAAGATAGAGGAATGGGGCTCAAAATTGCAGAGGTTTAAGGGATGAGAGATGAAGCTTGCTCTTTAGATGTGGGTTGCTTGCCCTTTTTTGAGTTGTTTTACTAGGTAAAAGGTGCCTCCCTTTTATAGGCGTTGGAAGCTCCTTTTTCCCAAGAAAACCCTAGTTGGTTCTCTCTAATTTTGCTGAGTCTTCTCCTTCATTTATCTTCTCTTCCTTCGATTCAACCTCTTTTGTGAAACCTTCCTCTATCCGAACATACAAAGACAAGATTTTTAGGAGCTCTAAGGCCTTCCTGCAGCTGTTTTAGTGTTAAACTCCTATTTTTGGCTACTACCTCACCTTCTTTCCTCCCTTATTTCATGGTTAGAGCTGGTAAAAGAAATGAGTGGTTAATGGAGCTGATCTAAAGGGTGTTTTGCTCAAGTATCCTTTGGTTTTTTGGATGAGTTGTGTTGGGATTTGTCTTTAGCTACGTGCTGGAGATTCCCAGTAGCCTGCATACATAGGTAACCTTTGACTTTTGTCGTTGTTTTGTCTCTAGCCATGTGCTAGAGACTTTCAGATATTTTTGTTTGGGCCAAAAATTGACACACCCAGCCCAGCGAAAATTAGGCCCAGAATAAAGCTGCAAAAAATCAAAGAAAGATGGAAGCCCAAAAAACCAGAAGACCAGCCCAAGACTCATCAGAGCAAAGTGAGGCCCAATATAATAGGAAGAGGGAGCCCAGAAATAGGAACAATCCCACGTGACATCTCTGGGATAAAAGAAAGTCAGCAATGGCAACTGTCATAGAAGAAGTGATTGAAGGGTTCATGACATCAAATTGATTCTGAAGAACTGAAGATCAAATCCCTATTACATATATATATATATATATTCAAAGATTTTTCTTCTGTCTTTTCAGAGAAGGTAATTCTCCCAAGGAGATAAGCAAGTTACAATCTCAGAGAGGGATAAGCAGGAAAGCAGGGAGCTGTCCAGAAAAGGAATCAAACTAACCATCACGGGTAAAATATCACAAGGGGCAGTTGAAATTGGGAAAGAGATTAGGTTCCTTTTCAAGAAAATCAGGGAAGTGATTGCCTATTTGAGAGCCTATCTGCCAAAACTGAAGAAATCCTATTTTCTTTCCTTCCATTAAAGAAGAGGAAAAGGGGGGAAATATCTTTGCCGCCCAATAAATAAACACAATCACCCTACTCCAGAGAAGAAACAGTTTACTATAAATACAAGAAGGAGTGAACAGGGTAAG